ATACAAATTCTTTTATAATCATAGAACTGTATTAAAAGGTTAAAGTTTTAGTTAGAATAGATCTTTATAGAGTCAATAGTCAATATATATAGTAATTAACTTTTATAATAAAATTGTGCAGTTGTTTAGTGACGTCCTATTCTTTAAGTAAACGTATATTTTTAATTATTAATAATTAGGTATTATACCGATAACGGATTATATCAAACCACATTTATCTTTTTATTTAGAATTATTGATACTGGTATTATAATTTAACACTATTCCTGCTACATAACACAAGCCTGCCTATATGATTTAAATATATAAATTATATTCACATAAGAATAAGCTTTAATATAACGTACGTAAACAGGTGTCTTATTATTTTACTTAATATAACACGTATTTTATATCGGTATATATACATATAATATATATATATACATTAATCAAAATTTACTAGAATGAATGAAAAAATATTTTATAATATTTAACAGTGGGTATTTAATACCTAACTATACAAACATTGTGTTATTACTTATTAGTTATAAGTTACCTATTAGTTATTAAAAATCAATACTGTGTATTACTTATTAATCATAATTAATAAACCATAAGGTAACTCAGTGTTACAGTGTAAATAATATGTAAACAAACGGGGAATCAAGTTCTATTGTAATTTTTTTTACTGGTAAACCAGACATAATAAATCAAAATAGAAATAGAAACTCGGTTTGAAGCATTTAGATATAAAGGAGTCGACCGTGACGTCGTGGCTCGTGCGGACGACGACCAGTTAACTAGATAATTTAAGTTTACCAAATGTATGGGATTTTTCGAGACAATTTATTTCCCTTGTTTATTGTTTTAAATAATAATAGATTTTGGACGTAATTGGACAGGTCTTATGAAATGTATTATAAATATTATAATCTATAATATTTTATGGTATATGTATACCTACGACCGTACTGAAGCAGTGTAGTGACACACCCCATAAAACACTATTATCCATTTATACATGTACCTTATACATTGTTTAGAACGTATCGTCAGTACTCAGTGAGTTATAACAATCGTTTCTGTACGGTGTATTACGTATATCGTATAACCTACCGCAACTTACGGTTACGCGGCACACCTCTATTTATAAAATAGTATATTAATATACTACACGTACAGAGTACCTACCCTATATAGGTTTACGTTTTACGAATACTTCTGTATAATGTATATATATATATATATATATATACATTTATATTGAATTATTTTTGGGGCTGCAGAACGCCATGTGTTACTAAATAGAGGCGGAGTCCTGGGTGCAGGATTATTATTATTAATTAACATTTTCCCCAGACGTCATCGATCTCGGCTCGCGTGATGTATACTATCAAAACCGAAGTCTGGTCGATCGGTTTGAACGATGGATAATGTATATTATAATATAGGTATAATATTAATAAAATAGATATATACAATACATCTATAGTCTATATACCTACAACGCACGCTACTTCCACATACACAATGCACATTACGGTATTACACACATTATTGTGTACAGACGGTCCTCAATTGTTACACCTCTCTTAGTTTTTTTTACAAAACCATCCATACTGGTCATAGATGACTCACAAGTCACGATAGGCATTCTCAAATTGTGCGCCTGCGTTCGGACTTATTGTGTTCAGATTTATGATGAGTTGTGTGTATAGGACCATTAGCAACGATGATACATAAAGCGTTTGTAGAGTGACCTCAAGGTTTACTCGAGGTACAATGATATTATTTCTTCCTCAGCTTGACTCCACGATAATAGAATAATCTTCTGCAGTAATTCGTAATTCGTAATTCGTAAACATAATAATATAATAATATAACAACAATACAAATCATACTTGTACTCCCAACACTCTCCCTTTTTCTTTACTTTAAAACTAACCTAACTTACAGAGTAGCTATTAATTTGGAAATTTTGATAATCATTGATATGATGTTATTGTGCAATCATAGTTGTCGGAAGAGACGAAAAGTCATATACGGAAGTGTTCCCTTGACTATCTAGCCACTGTGTTTTTATTTAATAAATATGATTATTTTTTTTCCCTGGAAATCCGACACGGGACGTTCATCCACACTCGCGGACCGCAAGTTGTATGTCAACGGGTGCCTCCATCTGCAGTAGTTTACTTCATTTTTTGTTTTTACGTTTTCTGCACAAAGGCCGATGACCATAGATCATAATAATATTATAATAACTATATCACTCGTTCGATGGATGCTGTTGGTAATATACATATTACATAAATATATATATATATATATATTATATATATGTGTATTCAATAGTGTATTGTATAGCTCAATAATAAAAGTTAAAACATCCCAAAATATGACTTATAAAAATGAATAAAATTACAACTTTTGATTTTTTTAACCCTAAGTATTGCATAACATAAATTAATAGATCGCTACAAAAAAATACTGAAAATTTAAGTTTATCTGTAGATAATAGTATACTATTATTTATTACCACCTACCTATACTATATACATACAACGGAAATATGTTTAAGACGTTTTCGTAAATTGCATATATTTTTAGAATAAATATTTTGTGGTCTTCGTTAATATACACATATATGGGCACAAAATATATCACATATTAAACTTTTTACTTAAACCTATTTTGAAAATCAATGCTATAATCTTATAGCAGAAGTATAGAGTTTATAAAGTATTAATAGCGGGTAGTTAAAACTCAATTAGATGATTACATTATTTTTTTATAACTAACTTTAATAAAGTTAATAATAGATAATATGTTATCTTCATACCTTTTTAAATACTTCAATTGGTTTTGTAGTTTATCGTAAATATATCATACACATTATGCATATATGTGTATTTATAAAAATAAGGAGGATGTTTTGGATGTATAGTGGTTCTGTAAACATCGTATTTCATGATTCCCTGATTTCGATGGTCCGATGCCCGATGAACCATGAACCTAATTATCATCAGTATATTAAGCAGCTAAAGTTTAAACTCTAATATTATATACATCCTAAAATAATTATAACATTAAATGTAATCAATAAATTTTAATCTGAAATAGCCAGAACACATAAGGAATATTAAAAGTAAAATGAGGAGCTTAACTGTATTATTCTAAAAATTCGATTTCTCGATAAATCAACTATAAGACAAATATGGCACCGTGTAATTCAATTATATTATACGGTACAACTTGTAGGAGAGTAGAAATATAACGGGCATGAATATACATTGCAAATTAGTACCTACTATTATAAATTATACAAAAAATTATTGTAAAAGTGGCGTATTCCCCATCAGTAGAATCACTTAACCACACAAATATATTATTTGTTTATGAATTATTATACATCAGACACAATTTAATAAAATTCATACAAAATCACACGAATTAATGCTACAGAAATAATGAACGGAAGAGCAGGAAAATACATAAAACCGTTATATATATTATTAACAATTTCATAAACTCCCAAAATTACACTGGGAAAACTAAAGGTACTCAATAATTTAAACGACGAAGTAAAGAGTTTAATAAAAAGTTTATGTGATAGTTAATCCAATAATACCAATGATATATGATTAATAAAAATCAAATAAAAAAAGCAATCAATAAAATAAGTACCCAGTGAACTTGATGAGAATGAGTGTACCTATTAACAAAATTATAAAAAGTCAATATATCTAAACATTCTAAACATAATATAGTATCCACGTGTACCCAAAGCTTATGCTAATTTTGTTTCTAAAATATCTACCTATTATGCTTTATATTTAATTAGTTAAGTATTTAAGTCGTATTTTTAATTGCATAAGTAATTTACTATAAAACAAATTATAATATCCATAAACTCCGTATACCAGATACGAGTGTATAGCTCAATGGTATAGTATATAAGTTTCAGTTATATCATTAACGTATAAATTATTGTAATTATTTAGTTGTAATTGATTTGGCCGAAATAAATAAATCAAATTGTCTTGAAAAAATAATTGATAAAATTCATGCTGATAACAACAATATACCTATGTATTTTATATTTTATGTAAGTAGTATGTATTACTGAATAAGTATACTCTAAATAGTAAATCCTAATAACAATAAACTGAGTACCCAATCATATATCAATACCATTACTGGAGTGTTTATTAGACATATAAATACGTAATTCCTTTTAAAAATAATGTCATATAGCTAAATTTGCTCTTCAAACTTTTAAGTTTAAACCACTCAAATCAACATTATTTTTATATCTCAAATTATATGTGATCGTTTAAGATCATCTTTATTACATAAAGTCTATTAACGCATATTACGTATTTGACATCATTTTTTAGTAAAATAAAAAGACATTTCCGAGTACACTATCTATTCTGGAGTTGAATAATTGTTATTATTAAAATATGATATTTTACCACATTATCATATTTTAACATGTACCTATATCTATATTAACTATTCTGAATTAAAATATTATTAGCTACCATAACGTGAAATGTGAATGTAACAAATAATAGTTTCTACGCATAAGAGATATAATAGGTATTAATTCGTATCTATGTATTTGACAAAATATAATACACCTAAGCCGGATTCCTAGCTACTTCGTGTATTGTGTCGTGAGTAGGTGTAGACGTATGGAAACAATGATTATAACTCGTCAAGACATTGGCTTAAAAGTTGAGCTGCGTAGTTAATTCGATCGGTATATTCGATTAAAACTTGGTTATTACACGATACCAGAAAAGTAATGTCAAATCAGAATGGGATTTGATTGACTTAACACCACTACACGAGTACACGACACACGACGTAGCTGTGAACTGGGCTTATTTATACTAATATATAATTTACTTATGAACATCAGTTAAACCGCGGTATAATAATGATTTATGACTTATACCTCCGTTAAGTTTAAATCATTTTATAACAAATAACAATATAATTTATTGACGTACCACATCCTCGTAGATTGGCGGTGATCGAACCCGTCGACGAGTATTGCTGGATTCTTGAATGGGTCTTGTAAAAACGGTTTGTACACTAATGGCCAAAAGCAACCATCGAACAACCAGCAATTTGAACGGCATAGACTCGACGAACATTCGGGCCGTTAGCATGTTATCATACGCCACCCAACAGTCATTTATGTCTGATATAACACTTGCTAAAAAACACAAAACGAACGTCATTATAACTAAGAGAATACACAACACGCTGGATACATTCAAAGGCTGAAAGTTACACTACTTAATTACTACCTAATTCATTTTACTAATTCGCTAAATTAATATTGTTACTCGAATAAATCGCCATATGAAAAATAATTTATATGCATATTTTATTTGCTGCTTGTAATTTGTAATGCAATAGTTTCATTATTTTAATTAAGGGTACTGGGTGATTCATTCAATGTAAGACACTCATTATTTCAGAAACAAAAAGTTTTTGAAAATATTTTTTTAAATTTTTGTAAGTTGTTAAAAAATAATATTTTTCTTATAAAAATTCAATAAATAATTCTTATGCATATTATCATTATTTAATTGTTTAGTTTTATATTGATAGCATGCATTTTTCATTCCTTATTCATAAGCAGATTTTTTTTAAATACTTAGTTATTATATAAAAATCAAATTTTGGTCGTGAAGTTTATGAGCTATAAGTTATAAGTTATAAACTATAATTGTCCAACATTTTATGATTACAGATCGAAATACTCCGAATGATATTTTTTTCGGTATATGAAATAATCATACTAAAATTTCAAAATTTCAATTTCGGTATTTCAAATAAATGTCATGCTATATTGTTATTCCAGAGTAAAAAACTTAAAAAAATAATAACAATAAAAATGGAAAAAATAGTATTCTGTAAAATCAGTATTTTCAAAAACGTGTTTTACGAAATATTGAGTGTCTTACGTTAAGTAAATCACCATGTATATTATATAATTTGCATAATAATTATATTTACTGTAACCAGGTAATTTCATGATATTCATATTTCATGCATGATTATCAGTATATTTAACAACATTTTTATAAGTTCTTGTATTTTCCATGACATTGCCTTGGTTTGCAATATAAGAAATACGAATGAACCTATATTATATAACTCAGTTATCAATCACTGGACACTGACTAAATATCGCAAGTTATAATATAACACAAAAAATAATATTATCAGTAAAATATCGCATGGACAAAATTTCGTCAGTATAGAATATCAGAAATACAATTATAATAATATGCTATATATTATAAATCCAATTCAAGTATAATTAATATTAAATATCTACTACTCCCTTACATTAATTATTTTTAATTTTAAATTATACAAATAATACTTGAACTAATTTTATAACATTTGCATACTATTAATTATAATACTTAATTATTATATATTATCATTAATACTAACTATTAAATATTAATCATACTTGAATAATTTTAGCTGTTTATTTTGTACTATAATGTTATTGCTATTTGCTGATATATTTTGTACTAATGACATTTTTGTCGTGCAATATTTTCGCCTAGAAAAATTTTACCAATGATATTTTGTCAATATTCCTACCCATGCAGTTGCTTATTAAATTATTCTTTTGTAGATCGTAGATGCTTACATTTTTGGTTCCACCATATAATACATTTTTTTTTAAAGTAAACTGATAGATAGTTGAATAATCGATACACGACGAAGAATTATGATAATAAGTTATAATATTATCCATGCTACTATATAAAATGTAGTCATTTTCTTTTGTTCGGGATAAACTCCGAAACAACTTTATGTCACTTAATTTTTTTTTTAATTAAAGAGGACATCACGGAGAATGTTTTAGGTATACATTTAGTCCAATAAAATTAATAAGTAATTATTTATTATAATTAAAATCAATTTGTAAATTGTAAACTTATATTTACATTTTGTGCGGCAGGTATTGTGCTCTTGCGTTGTCTGGTGACGATTTTGATTTGTTATTTATTAATTGTTGATTTTTGGTTGTTTTAATCATTTGAAGGCTTAATTGATTGTACATTTGATTGAAGGTTATTACTAACGTACCACTTTCATTTTCGAAAATGCCTAGACGAAAGTAAAGCTACCTTTAAAGTAAAGGGTCCGGTTTACCACTACGTTGCGCGCAGTCTTTTTCCATATTGTAAGCGATATAATTTTTTTTCAACATTATGAAGAATCCGCGGTGGCGACGCTAAATTTATATGGCTAAAAGTGGTCTAAAATAAAAATAATTATCTAACATTCAGAAAATTAATATTAAATTAATACCTGAGAAATCTCGATAGCGAAGTTAATAAGTTAATGATGCCTATAACTATTCCGGCATCACAATTGATTATGGTCAAGTTTGACTGATTAAACCTTATTATATTTTATTTAAGCTATTAAATACGACCAAAAAACTGTGTCTACATAAAAACTTTTCATTCATAGCCCCACAGGTGATAAAAACTCTTAACAATAATGTACAGTGTTATTTATTTTTATAACTAAACACAGTATACACTATGTACCTAGATGTATTGTATATTGATGTTTGATACTAATGATACTTTAGTTTGTATTTATAAATACACAAGTAGTATGTATACATTTGATGTTGAATTTGACTTTTCCTTTTAAATTTAAATGCATTAAACGAATTTTAAATAAATCGTGTACTTACATCGAAAGAAATACATTTTTAGTTATAACATGTAAAATTTGAATGACATATTTATTATTTTAAATTGCAACCTTTCTAGGCAGAGACATTATTGTGGAGAAGGATTTAAAAAAATCTTTAACAACAGCAATATACATGCGTTTGCTTACAAATTACAATATAAATAAAATAAATTATTTCAACTCTCTAGTGATTTGAAAATTATGGTACAACACTGCAACTATATTATAATAATAAAAATAAATTCATATTTTTTTGGTGATCATTATATTTTATTATGTATAGTTAAATAATATTGAGTATATTTTGTCAATTTTACGAGGGCATAACAAAGCGCTAGGTACCTACGTCATAAGCGTTTTATATTTTAGTGCTAGAACTACTGAGCATTGCCTGGACAATGGTCCGACCGTGTATTGTATACGATGTACTGTAATAAGGATATGTTGACCAAAAGGCAAAAATTAAACTACTTAAAATTATGTGATAAGGCCACCCCAACGCACGTTCAATACATGCAAAGTAGAAACATGTCAAGAGAGTTTTCGACTCATACGAAAAATAAGTTATAGGTGTATAACAATATGGTCATCTACAACATAGGTTGTAGGTATAACTTTTTGCCATTGTTTGGTCAGCGGTTTTTTGCTACGGTACACGCCACGATCGTTTCTCATACAATAATCATCGAACACCCAACGATAACAATACGACTTACAATGTACAAATATCACGATTATTGTCAAGCATAATATATCCGGCTTCAGTGCAGTTACGCGTAAAAACTCGCAAATTGAGCACGTCCAAGCGATATCCGTTATGGTTTGGGTCTGTTGACACGCCGCGGGAAGACGCTGTTCGGTGGTGTAGGCGAGTTGTAGGTGTGGATATTCGACTTGCTCTCAGCGTCCCAAGTCTGTGTTATTGTATTGGCTATCGGTCGGGAGACGCCAAGTTTGCCGCTCGCCGCCGAAACACGATCGATATCAGAACGCGCGATGATGAGTCAACGAAAGTTTCACTGCCATATAACACTTATTATTATATATTTTTTATTATCGGTGTGGTGCGTAAGACGACCGTGCCGGAGTGCGTAGACGTAATATTTCCCCGAATTCTTAAGCCTGTATCATTCATAATTATCACAAAATATTATAATTAGTGTTTACGGGACGATATTGTTTATTGATGACCGTTGAACAGGTGTGCGGTGTACTGTATTGTTATTATATTATCGTGTTTATTATTTAATGATATATGTTTAAAACGCTAAACGTTTTACAATGTGTTATGTACCGTTTTTAGAGGTTATCGTATTTCGAGAATTTCAAATGCAGTAGTCGACGAGAAATAAGGGTTTATTAATTAATTATTATCATCTATGCGTGTAAATAAATAACAACGTCGTTGGATCCATTTCTCGACAATAATACTTACCTACCTACGCAAATGCCAAATACTGCGGCACAATGGCTCATAATACTATCTCGATATTTTTGTATACCTACAAGTGTGACGGCGAGTAATATTATATTGTTGTTTTCTAGGTTTGATTATTTATACAATGCATAATTTCATAACTACCAATCAATGCAGCCCTTTTTAATATTGTTTGCCGTGGTATAATAATAAGACACCCAACTGTTTCATTAATTATAATTTCAAATCGATGATAAAGCTGAGTTAGGATGACCGTAACATAAGAGACAATTGAGTTAGTACATCACTGACCCAGACCCAAAAATAAAGTATTGAGATATAGATATAGGGATTAGACATTTATTTGTTTATAAATGTATAAAGTGATATCATATATAGACTCACGCGATGTTAGTGGTTTTTTGCACTTAAATATGTACCTATATAATATATGTGTAATGCCATATAATGACATTGCAGTTTTCCAAGAAATCGTGTATTTTGTATATATATATATATGTAATAATTTTTTTTACGTCAATGCAAATCTACTTTTTCTTTTTTGTTATGTTTACAACCAAAAGTGGTCTATATGTATAATATGTTAACAACAAGTGTATATTATAATACTGGAGGTTACTGTCATTTTTGGCAACCCACTTATTTAATGATGTATAGCTTATGAATTAATGTTAGGCAAATTATATAACAATAAAAATAATGTGATAAAAAACTATACAAATTATTTATAATTTGGGTGAAATAGAAATCTCAGAAACATACATAAAAATATAATCATTGCTTTATATAAAAATTTGTTGAAACAATATATAAACAAGGCCCCATCCAAACAAATATTCATTACATTTTTTTTTGTTATTAGGTGCATCATAATAGTATAATGATACAAATAGAGGAGAAAATTGTCTAAAATATCAGGTTCTTATTAGAATTTAAATAGTGGAATTATAAAAATAATGTAGGTAGATATACAAATACGGCAGATCGCCTACTTTTTAAGTTTTATATGCTCGTTTATCCTAAAATATAATATTTTATTCACATAGTAATATAATAATCGAATTTAAATTTTAAACTAAAAGATTATTTTTTGTATTCATTAACAAAATATGTTAATGAGAAAACAATATTTATACATATTGTAAAGTTCCATAGTTCTATAAAAGACTATACTAGTTTATTAAAATAAGTGATTTGAAATGATCGTTGTTTATTGTATAAAAAATAATAAAATATATTAATGCTAATAAAACATAATTGTAAATATTCTTCTTTTTAGTAGGGCTTATCTACGTAATAGAGCAGTAACAACATAGGAACTATCTACAATCTACTATTAAAAATATGATTACCACAAAAAAAAACATAATATAATTTTCTTATAATCAGTAATCGGTAATGTATTATATAATTTCATTTCATTGAATAATTTTTGTTCCAGAAATATATAATATTTTAATAAATTACCTTCAAACAATACATAAATTAATGAAAACAAAAAAATATCGTATTATTTGAGATCTTAAAATTAGTCAATTGAATATAGATAGCAACAAGAATAATACATATTTTAAACCGAGACCCTATGGACCCCTTGGGAAATGTATTTAAATTAACTTTGATTTATTTTGTTTCAATATACATTACAGTTTGTATTATTTATCATAATTCATCAGCCACCAATAACATGAAGTAATTACATAACATTAAAACAAAGGATATTTTTTTTGTATTTCTATAAAGATGATTTTTTAAATATTATTTTTTACTGAAAAGCGTTTAGCATATATTACTTTTGATTGATGGATTTATAAAAAATTAAAATTAAACTATTGAATAGGATCATAATTTTATTTCGATCGCTGGAAGTTAAACTAAACAAAATTATTAATCAACTGGTCGGCGGAAATATGGTCTTTAACAGTACCTATATAGTTCCCTAGGAATACTAGTACTTATAATGTATTAAAAATATATATGGCTTACACAACTACTCAATAACGTACGTACAACCTATATTTTTGTTCAAAACACCGATACATACTCAGTTTTCGTTGGTCAAATGTATACTTTACTACTTTATTAGTTATTTTGAGAGAATTCGATTTTAAATTGGGAGAGAACCTTTTTCGAGAATTGGTAGTGTTTCAATAACAAGGAAAAAAAATGACTCCATCGGGCCGGCCTAGCTACTACTATAACGTAATTCGGGGTACATATGGTTTGTGGGTGGTGAAAGGTGTCGGCGGGGAAAAGTAATAAAATTCTCTAGACGCCGTAAAAACGTACATAATAAGTATCGACACAATGTGGCAGAGGGGCCGCACTTCTGTAAAGAAGGGTTAAGGACCTCCCAAAGTTTTGTTCCAAACAACAATAATAATCGAGACAAAATGTGAAAAATAAAACAAGAAACGAGATGAGATGTTCAGAAGAGCATTAAAAATATTGCAAAACGTCGACAAAGAATTTAACGAATATTCGCACGTATATAATAGTGCGACCTAATCTATATAGTAAGCGTATTGTTAACATAATGAAGATAGTCGTTATTATGATGAATGGTACGATTTGCGCAAATATGACATTAATTAGGTTTTATTAAAATCGCATTAAATTATACTTTAGATATACATTAGATATGCATTGTACGTAAACATAATATTGAGTCTAATGTATAAATCTACTCATTTTTGTTACGTATCTTTGTAACATAAATTACTATAATTATTCGCGTGTGCATGTCCTGCATATAAAAAACAATAAAGTAAAGTTATTATAAATCATTTTGGAAACAAAATCTCAATTAAAAGTTATTGTAAATGTTATCTATATATATTCATCTTTTCTTAAATGAAAATCCTTAGAAAATAATATCAAACAAATAGTGAGTTGATAGTTTATGGGTCTAAGGAATTTTGAAAAAAATTATGTAAATCATAATATAATTGTGAGGTTTTCTACTTTTTAAACGTGGTAATTGATAAGAATTTATTAAATCATTATCACTGTAATGATTAAATTTGAATGATTAATAAAGTATTTAAAATTTTGTAAGTGCGTACCCATATAATATATTATTTGAGTACATGGAAACATAACATACAGTTTACAACAGCACAACATTTCTTTCCGAAATTTAGTTCGATTTATGTTAGTTGATTCATTTTGATTAAATCGTATTAGTATAAGTTACAGACAACTGGAAACCAAAATTAATATAAATTATTATTTATGTTTATGTATAATATTATATTATTATGAAATTTGGGATTGCGTCAATTTGAACATATAAAATTAAATTCTCATAGGAAGTACTATATGGGGATATCATTACAATAACTTACTATAATATTATTGTACTTATTACACCTGCGGTGCTTTCAATTTCTGTAGTGTGTAGAAAAATGTATTGATTTTAAGTATGCCAAAAATAGAACAGAATGTTATTATGGCATTATGCAAATTTTAATCAATATAAAGAAAATACTTTTTTAACAATACTAAAACAGTTTTTATAAAAATGTTCAAACCTACAAATAATGAATACTATTTTAAATTTGTTCAAAGGTGTATAATAATGTACTTTACAAAAATAGCCTATTCAACAATTATATATTTTATTCACACCTAATTTTAAATTATTTATACTATTGAGTTTAATGTTCTTAAACTATAATATTTAAATAATAAATAAATATAATATGTATTTTTAAATTTAAAAATACAAAACTTATGTTCAACACGTTACAATATAGTACCTCTTCTCTTAATCGCTTTCAAAAATCAACCAAATCGACACACAATAAATTCATGTAGCTAATTTTCGTACTTATCTTATAATAATTTATCAAAAACTCTGACTTACTCAACAACACCGGCTTGCCGATGTAATATTATATTATTATATCGGCATTAAATTGATTCTCTCGCCAGATCCTCGAGCGTTGACGACGGGGTATTACTCGTCGTCTGTATAATATACAATAAATATATAATTTAAATTACAATACGACAAACAAAAACTTTTAACGTTTTATCTTAAACTAGAACTATTGCACGCTCGCGTGTGAATATCACAATATCGTATACGACGACTATCGGGGGGTGTGATAATTTTCAAAACGGTACACAAACGAAAACTCGCAAACGACGGTCCCAATCGATACACTACCGCACGCGTCCGCCACGGCCGCACCACTGCCGGTCGGTCGGTCGTTCATTCAACTTGCCGCTACCGATGACGCCGCCGCCACTGCCGTCTGGTCCGTGCCCGACGACAATATCTGTGGTCGCCGTTGTACATGTGCAGCATCGGTCGGTAGTTCGTAAATTATACGGAGTGGTCTGTTTGTAAATGGCTACACTACGTATAATAATTTACTAAAAGCCGATTTCCGACATTTTGAAGAAAAGTACGTTTTTTGAAATGACTATCATGAACTATTATAAATTATAATATATTCGTATATAACTATATATTATAATGTTATGACAACACTAAGGTTTTGCAAAAACTAATCTAATTTTTTCATAGTTATCGGATATACCTACCTAGTGGGTGAGTAGTGGATTTATATTATGTTCATCTGACACCTATTATACATCAAACTATCAAACTCTTAAGAAAATACGATTCTGCCTCCGATATTGTGAAATTAAAAACATGGGTTTTTTATTGTAAGACAATCGACAATAATTATCATATTATTAAACATAGAAATAGAAATTATTTTTTGTTTTGTGAGACCCCATAGAGTGTTCACAAATATTTCAGTGCTTATCCTTATATAAATTTAATTATACTATTCAAAACCATGCAATTTGTTTGGAAAAATGAGTGTAGCTAGCTTATAAATAGATCACCCTGTATATTGTGCGTATGTGTAGTAAATTAAACGGTGGAACCGTCAGACAGACGTTATTATTTGCACGACGAAAACTAGTTTGCAGTTTTTATAGTTGTGGGCTGTTCTACCGCGTATATATAATAATGATATTTTGAAAACCGTTGTGAGATGTCATTGTACATACATATACCACAATCCCTAGCTGTAGAAGTCTTTCAAGTTGTAACAAGGGGAGGGTCGGTGACGGCAACTGAAGAATCAGTTGCAAGTTGCAATAGCAGCACCTATTTGAATTTTTACTCCACCACATTTTAAAAACGTTTAAATATGAAATAATATTATACACCATTAGCTCAACGTTCAATGTTCTGCAGCCAGCGGCGGCTATCCCATATCATGTGTTAGGGTTTGAAACCGATATTGGATACCAACTTTGAATACTGGTTAAAACCTTTAACAATCAAGATGGATATCGATACTGAAAGCCAAATAGGCAAAAATGTTTTCGGTTTCAAAACCTCCATGGTGTACCTATCCTGTAATACGTGTTTACAAATAAAGCCGTTGCTGCCAAAATGCGAATATTCCGGAACTGGTGAACTGGGTGAACTGACCGGCCGTCGAAAAACGTCACCATCTGCTTGCCACAAACAAACTCAATATAATAGTGTAAAAAAAATCAGACAGCAGACGCCGGCCGGCAAAATCCGGTCGTCTGTTTGGACCCTAAGGTTCGTATGGTAATAAATAATAATCAATTTGTCTTATCTTCATATAGTAATAAATAATAATAAATAAATTTCAATTAAAAATTGTATTTTTTTATGTTTTCATTACAAACTTAATCCTTGATCGCGATGAACCTTTTTTTTCATGACCTCTGTAAAGGAGTTTCAACTTCATCTGCACATACTATTGCAATAACACGCACGACTTGTTTTAATTTAGTTGTTGTACTATTTGTAAAGAAACATTTTTACAGTTACCACAGATGATGTTTTAAATTTGTATAAAATAATAGATAGGATAAAATAAAATTAACAAAATTAACAATATTTCAGAGCCAGGGAAGGCCCCTAAGGGATTTTATTTCATAAAATTAATAAATAAAAATGTTTTTTGATGAATCTTAACTTTTAAACACAGACATTGTACTTGATGCTTTTAGATTAGTTCTGCAGTTCGACATTACCATATTATATTATGGTATGAATAGTAATACTATGATGAATGTTCGAGTGTTTACCAATGTTTACCATACTAACAAAATAGTTTGAACTATATTCGTTATAACAATTATAGGTCCAATTTATTATAATGTAATATAAGTATGTCGAACTTTGTATTAATATAATACTATATGTGTACAATCTTCATTTTAATATAACAATAAATAATACTTAGAACATTTTATTTTCGAGTGTAAAATAAATTAAAAAAAAAAAATATTTTGATAAATAAATTCCATGAGTTTTAAGGAAGTCCGTTTTCCTGGACTAAATTTAATCACTAAAATATGCTCTCTCAAATGTAATAACTCGGATTGGAACTCTTCACGATCAATGTCTGTGCGTGATATTTATTCCAAAGGTGATGGGTTTGTTTATAATATTGAGCTGTTCTTGTAATTTTTAAAGAAAACTGTAATGGTTGAAAAGAGAACGGTATGTTTTGGCTGAAAAGCGACACTAGCCGAAAAGAGTAATGCTCAAATATAAAAAAAAAACACACTCAGAATGTCATATGAAAAGTAAAATAATAGTAATAATAATAAAACAGCACACTCCTGTGGTTATATAATGAGCGAAACACTCAAAACAGTAAATAATTAAAAATAATGGCCTTTACAACAATATAGTAGTATAACGACTAACAATTAAATACCATGGTGAATATTATAATAAAAAAGACAGTTACGCTGTGATTAGTCTAAAAATAAAATATCAACTTACTGAAAACAATGACTCAATTATAACTCTCACAAAATATATAATAATAAGTGAATGAAAATAAAATAAAATATTATCTGAAAAAATTTTGAGGGAAGTTTGAACCCTTAAAACCCCTTGTACCTGATACAATATATGTTCTAAAATTATTGAATGAATTTATAATATCCTAATCTGTCAATCTAAACAAATCTTGTAACCACGGCACAGTACTTTACTCGGAAATCTCTTTTTGACCATATTATGTGAGTTTTGACAGTACAATAATACACTCAATTTTAGGCAATATGTATTACCACACAATATGTGGTACACTGGTAGGTTCGCCTAGCTTTACCGAGTGGAAAACGTAATAAATGTGTGCAGGATTGTATAACATGAATAGCCTTGCACTTACATATTGTAAATTATGTGTCAATAATATTATGATGGTGTACGCAGCATAAGTATAATATAATTTTTATCTCAATGATTTTAATTTATAGTTAGATAATCCCGGGAAAAAGGAAAATTTTTAAAAGTGAGTATTGAAGCTGCATTCAAATAATATGGAACTATATTGTCGGTATTTCAGTAGTTTCCGGTGCCATTCAGAAGCTGAAAAGTCTAATATTTCAACATACATCTATATTATCTAAAAAAAAACCCCTAGTTATATTATTAGCATGGCATAGATATTTATTATTATTATTATTATTATTATTATTGCTTGTATGATTTTTCTTCTTCTATTTGGACCCTATACGGTTTCTATGGTAATAATTAATAATACATTAGTCTTGTCTTTACATAATAGTGACAATTTAATTTCTATTGAAAATTTTATTTTTTATTTTTTCATTACAAACTTAATACTCGACCAGGATTAAATTTTTTTTTCATACCCCCTGTAAAGAAGTTTCACTTCATCTGCGGGTGCTATTACAACATGCATTTTTTTTCTGTATAATTTATAAAAAAAATAGGTATATTGTTTCATAAATATTGTTACTATATATAGTATGAATAGATTCATATTGTTTATACTAGCAATGTTCAGTTTGAGTATACCTGTTTAATAAAATTTAAATTATAATTCGGAAAACAATATTATATAATTACTATATACAACTATATAGTATACAGTTGGTAGGTATAATTGTTGACACCAACTCATTAAAGAAGACGTTTAAAATAAATTTACTCGTATACATATTCAAACAAGTGCATAAAATGGTTCAATAAGGTATAAGGATTAAGGAATGTATCTAAAATACATCTACGCTTATCCATAAATATTTATCAATTCTAAGACTAATGCAAGATGCAAAACTAGCATATGAATACAGACACTCTCTATGTGTCTATAATTAATATAAAAGTAGACGCTATATAGACTTAAACATAGAATATAGACATTTAGACATAATAGCATAGACATCATTAAGATTATGCAAGTCGTACTATGGTTGCTGGGATAGGATCATAACAAAGTAATTTTATTTTGTCATAGAATTTATGCCATAAGTGATACTCAGTAGTGAGTTGCATGTTAACTTACTTGGAGGGATGAAATGGGGGTCACCCTCCCACCACTCGGGGAGGATATTTAAAACAATATTTTGATAATCGTATGATCGAAAATTAATGATACTAAATTCTGATTTATTGAGTTTAGTTATCAGAACTCGGCTGTACTTGCATAAATGTTACATAAATTGTTTTTTTTAAATATGTTGTTTGTTAGATTCTGTGCGTAGCGAATGAATATTGAATGTATTGTATTTACACTGATGTGTGTTTTTTTCTGTCTTCATGTTAGCAACATTTGGGGTAGTAATAATATTTACTAAGCTCAGGATCTAAATCTATATATTTTTTTTAATGTTCCACAATTATGAATTCAAATGAAATAAATGTTATAAAAAACAAAAATATTATTTTATGAAGATGTTTGTTTACCACGGTTTAAGATACTATTATCTTATATCGTAGGGTTCACTGTTAAACGTTTGTGTGTCTTATAATCCATACTCAATAATATTGATTATAACTTATAAGATGATTTTATTGTAATTTCATACTACTAATTTAGAGTAATTTTACAGGGAAAAATTATAATTAAAATAAATTTATCTACTCATTGATGAAGTGTTATAGTGCTACTTTATTTATTATAGGTAGTTGAAACTTGGACTCGAATTTTACTGATTTACATCAACGCAGTCCAATTGTGTTTCAGTTTACGGCGAACAGAGTACACTATCACTATACCATTGGTGTATACTTTGTCGTCTACTCTGTTTAGAAAAAGGACAACGCTTACTTGAAAGTTGAATTATACAAACGGCATCTTTGTGATCCGATCGTGGCTCGATTGCAAATGCAATAATTGACCATCATGATCACACTAGGTGTATTTTTGTACCTCTTGATGAGTTCCGCTATGCTTGTAGTATGTTTCTTCAATATCAATAGTTTATCAGAATAATTACCTACTGAAAATGTATACTTAACATGAGGCACAGTTACGGTGTATCTTTATGCGAAAGGCTTCACCTGGCACAGTTACGGTGTATCTTTATGCGAAAGGCTTCACCTGGTTTTTTGAACCCTTATATCCCCGCTTCCTCTTAAAATTGATTTTTAAAATTTCAAACATAGATTAAACCCACAAACGTCGCTCGCTTTTCAAAATCTAGTAAAAAAGAATGATTCATCAAAAACCTAATCGTGAAAAAACTAAAAAGGGCCAAGCCCCAAACAATTTTTTCTAAAAAGTCTGCTCATCGAAGTAGTGATATACTGATATTATCTACAATGCAGCCGAGTATGGTGTTTCCTTAGTCAATAACTTTAATACACAAATACATTCATGTATCATGTGCAACAAATATCTTTTATTTCATTGCTTATTACCTGACTATTTGTAAAGAAAAATAATTAATGGGTGATTGAAATTTCTTCAACTGTTGACAACGCAAAAGAAAATAAATCAGAAGAAATTGGCCAAGTGATAGGCAATAAAATTAAAAGAGGCGTATGTAATTTGCGCCAAAAACAAACCCCCCCCCCCC